CAGGGTGCCGGATACGCACACCCAGGCATCCAGCAGCAGGCGCCTGCAGAGCGACAACCGCTCCCACCCGAGTGCCTAGGCTGGGTGCGGAGCTCAGCTGTGTGCTGACTGGCATAACCTTGGGAACCAACCTGGGTGTAGGAACAAACCGGACGGCAGCCATTCCCACCTGAGGTGTAGCTGCAGGTGCAGGATATGGCTGACCTACGGCTGCCCTGACCCTGGTGGTGGGAACTAGCTCAGGTGCTGGCTGGGTGACCACTGCCTCTACCTGGAGATCAGACGCAGGTGAGAGGTCCGGGAATGCCACAGCCACCCTGGCAGTGAGCACAAAGTTCCGGACATTGACTTTGGCAGGTGTAAGCAGAGGAGCAACGACAGACAAAAACCTTAAAGTCTCTAAGTCCTTGACACAGTCCAGCTTGTCCTTAGTTGCCCTTCTTGGGGAGCTAAACACCTTCTGTCTTGGAGCACGATTCAAACAACATTTCAGACCTGAAATAAGTTGGCTCAGTGACATAAGCGATGGTTATGTTGTCCCAGGAAGCTTGATTCATAAGGCCAAGACTTGAGTCATGAACCCACATAAAACAACCAGGATTATGTGCAGATGATTTTAACACAATAATTTGGCAGTCACATGGGAAATAATTAAGCTTATTGGGATCTAAGCCCCCCGTTGGCGAGACTGAGTTAAGGAGGGGTTCAGCCACACACGCTAATCGGCTGTAGAAGGCTAGTGAGTGGAATGCGCATGGACTTGACTTTGCACAGAAAACATAGTGGACTGGCTCTGAGCAATCCGGCTGAATCGTCTTTAGATCGGCCAGTTCATTAACTGCCGTCAAAAGGTCCTGGCCCAGGGGTGCAGTTAAAGGGCTAGCTGGTTTGTAATGACTAGCATGGCGCTCCCCCCCGACAGTCTTGGAAACACAAAATTCAGCCTGTCATTGGATAAAGCGGGAGCATAACTTAAACAGTCCTTCAGTTTTGTATTAGCGGAAGTTGCAATGTCATCCACGGACATAGGGAACCCTGGCAGACCCATAATAATCGTCCCGTGCCGATGGACTGGTGTAGAAAAGCAGTTGCTGATGTCGGGCTCCAAAGCACTCACTCTGGTCAAACCATCAACAGGGTGAGCAACATGGGGACCGATCAGCACAGGATCATAACAGACATTTTCATGAGCAACACTGGACATTTCTTCTCTCGCTGGCCTAGTTATACAAACAGAACATTTGTTATTTGACTTGGGAACAAGGAAAACAGACTCGGAAAGGGGGGTGCTAGCCAAAGGCAATACAGTCTTACTACTGGTCAGATCAGAAGCTTTCTCACTTAATATGTAGTTAACGGACAGCAGGGGCTGAGACACGGTCTTAAATAAGGCCCCAGATGCCGTAGCGGTCTTAAAAGAAGCCCTCTCAGTGGAAGATGGAGGTTCTGGGTGTGCAGAATCATTAGTACATTCTGTTTCGCTAATGCCCCCTCAGCCTGCTCATACATAATACCAGGGTTTAACAGTACATCACTTGGTTTAATTCCCAGGACTGGACAGTCTATGGCCGGTTTGGCAGTGTCGGTTTCACAGTTTGGTGCTGGCAGTGTGTCTTCCCCAAGAATAGCGTGCCCAACATCAGAAACTTTAGCTTTTTTGTCAAAACACAACATGGGCACAAGATTAACACCTTCGACATTAGCAGTCAGAGGCATGGAAAAGGCAGCTTCTTCACTGGCCCCCGAGAAAACAGACCGCGATGAGGTGCATGGGGGGGTGACGGAGTTAACATTACAGGTAAATTGAGTCTCCATCTCCGAGACCTTAATTGTCTTTCCAAGCTCTTCGCCCTCATTACATCCAGGGCGTTTCAGTGGCAGCAGAACATTATCACTGACCTCTGAGTGCTGTGTAGAGCGACGCCAACGCCGCTTCCTCCTGGGAGCGGCCGCGAGCGCGGCAGCGTTAACTGTCGGGATTGGGTCCTCTTCCTCTGCCCACATCCTCGCCAGAAAAGCGGCCAGAGACGAGAAGTCCTCGCGAGGGGGTGAAGGCGAGCGGCTGGTCTGCAGCAGGGCGACAGGTGGGAGCTCCTCCTCGGGAAAGAGCCAAGGCTTCCAACGGAGCTCCTCCCGATAAGCCCGTAACACCTGCTGACGCTCATCGTCCCCAAACTCTATGGCCTCCATCGCCTCCGTGTGCTGGTCAGTGCAGATTGACTGTGGCGGAAACGAGGAAGCCGATCCACGGTGGAGCAATGGTTGAGTGGAAGTGGGCCTCAGCGTTCCACTTCTCACAGCCTCTGGCTCATGAGACAGCGGCGACGACACCCGTTTACGGGGTGGAGGTGTGGGTGCTGAGGCGGCATTCAGGACCCTCTGGGCCAGCGCACGGGCACGAAGCTCCTCCTTAAGGGGGCCCAGGGAGTCAAACGCCTCGATGAGGCGGGGGAGCTGTCGCAACCGTGGCTCCCGCAACAAAATGGCGTCCACGGCCGCCAGCCCCGTGGAAACCACTTTTGGATCCGTGCATCCAATGATGCGATCCATAATGCGGCAGAGCCTGTTCAGCTCCTCTCCTACCTCCTCTGAAATGTCCGCTGAGTCCGACATGGTCGCGTCGTACTGTCACAGTCCGCTGTGGCAGACTGTGTGGAGAGTGCGTGGAGGACTCAGGTGCAGACACAAGTGATACGGGAGTGAACTTAAACCAAAAGCGAGCCTTTTATTGTGGCTGATGAATACAAAAGAAGCAAACAAGAATAAGGGCAGCACAAGAGCAATAACTAAACAGAAACCTAAACTGGGAATAAACTATGGTAAGGCTATGACTTAGAATACAACAGACCGGGCATGGAAACACAGAGGGTGGGAACACAGACGACGCGACACAGACTGTATGAAACACAGAGACTAAATACACATGAGGGATGATCAGGGGAAGTGGCCACACATGGGAGCACAGCTGACACACATGAACCTAACGACAGGACAGGAGAGTGCAACTGAAGCGACAGCATGAACTTGACAATACAAGACACACAGACATAACACACGAAGGGCAAGGGAGGCTTAATACAAGGGTAACATAATTACAAATGGGCTGGACTAACTTAATGAACCTAAACAAACAATAAACATCAAAATAGGCTAAACACAAAACACTGGGTCGCACGACCCAGGACCATGACAGTTTTGTATCTTTGTGATTTGTCTGTTTCCTTTTCCTGTTGTATAAACTCACTTTGGATCAGCTAACTCTAAATACTGAACTAGCAGCTGGTACCTGTCTGAATGTCTCAAGCTTAACTACAGCATGAAAGAAATATTAATAAAAACCTGTGCTAACACACAGTTAGCCCAAAGGAGCTTGCCAAGAAAAGCATCTGAGAACCTTCACAGACACACAGTTAGCCCATTTCACTGTCATTATTGAGATTATGTATACTATCTAAACACTTTGTTAATGATTTATTTAGAAATTCCAAATGATGCCAAAACCATGCCATGAGCCATCAACAGCTCCTTGATAACTTGTGTGCAGTTGGTGTAATATTTATTTTAAAATGGTGAATATATTGTTTGCAATGTATAAAGCTACTGTTATTAAACATGTTATATTATAGTATATAAGCATATTAATTAGCTATAAGTCACTTATATCTTATAAATTAGATATTTAGGTGGAATAATTTTTCTAAAATAATAAATTTACTATGTACTAACACAACAACAGGCCAAGAAAGCCTTGAAATAATCAAAATAATCTGATTAGGTTCCTAATCAGCTGTTCTGAGTAATAGGTTTATAAATCCAGGGTAAATAAAGTCAGACCATCTGTAATGTTTGAACACCAGCACTGACAGAAGTGACAAACTGCCCGTGTCTGGTCTCACGAGAGTGAGGTTTGTTTTCAGGAAATGGGGAGGTTGCAGCAGTTGTAGTTTGAGACGTCTGGTTTGAAGAAACCACGTGATGCTTTTTACTTCCTCTGACAGTTAGGCCTCTCTGCGTCTCTTCTTTTGTGATCTGAGACATACAGAGATGGCGGGTACAAGGTGAGTTCATTTTAAATATGAAATCTCATTATTCTGTTGTCTCTGTGATTGGTTTGTTTTGGTGTGTGTCTGCAGGTCTCACCGCTGCGTTACTGGGGTTCACATTTGTTTACTTTCTGTAGGCCTCCGCTCACTTCTGGCTGAAATTTTAAAAAAAGGCCAATAATAATAGGAATAACCCTAAATGAGCATAAAGATTTCATTTGCTTATTTTTTTTAGACCAATCTCATCTGAAGTTATGGAAACATTGTAGCAGTCTCTGATTCAGACTATGAGGTTATGATCGTAAGACTTCATGCATGACAGACGGTCCAGCTTCCGTTGTTTGGAGGGTTTCATTTTGTTTCCGGTTAATGAGGCTTCACTTCTCATCATGTCAGTTCTGAGACCTGATCATATTTTTAAGTGTGCTGTTTTTATGATGTGGTTTTATGTCACAGTCAGTTACTGAAACAGCTCAAGCCCACAGAACTGCAGACACGAGGGATGATTCAAACATATGTCAACGTCATAAAAAACAAAATGATCAGAGTGTTTAATGTTTTTATTTGCATTTTCTAACACACTTACCAGACATTTCAACAATATATTTAAATGTAATATTGCACACTAAGAGTTCAGGAAGTACATACAAACCATCAGCTTCTTTCTATAGCCCCACATTCTCCAGCCCTACCCTCTTTTTTTAAATTATTTGATTAACCACATTTTAGGAGGAAGACCAAAGTGTTACGAGATGGTACTTTGACATTTTCTTGATACCGCTCAACCTCTGATGTACACCAAACTTTTCATTAAAACTGTTGAAAAAAGATGTGACTAGGGATTTCAAGAAATGCTGTTTTTTAATGTTGTTGATTGTTTTTCCATTGTATTCTCCAGGAAAAGTGTAAACTTCATCCTACTCTGTTCCAGCACACACATTGTGTGGACATAGAGATATACATGAAAACTTGAAGTTTTTTAAGTTGTGCTTTTTCTTCTTTTCTCTTATTTCAGTTATATTTCCATCTTTGAAATAATCTCTCTCTCTCGCCCTCCCTCCCCCTTTGACTTTTGAGGGAATTGTTGTTTTGATTTGGCAGGATATAAATAAAAGACAATGGCTGTTTACACACCTGACACGTGGTAAAATTCTGTCACCAGAATCATGTGGCCTGGAAGTATCTGCATGACAGCGATAAGAACTACTTGAATTCTCCAGATACTAAGAAAAAGAGCTTCAATGCTTCCCTTATTAATTAAGCATTATTAAAATGCTGTTCTATAAAATACACCATCCAGCCATTCATGTAAACCAGCAACAGAACTGTAAATGTCAAGTAACAGTGTGTTTTACATTCCATGCCAAAAGCTGCTGACACTGCCAGTTTAAATACAACCGGATACACTCTTCTCTTATTCTAAGTCCTGGTTAATTTTCCTATCCAGCTTTCCTTATATTGTTTCCCACTTAGATCGAGGAAAACTGGTTAGAAAAGGAGAGAAGAGGTACTATTCAAACATACCCTCAGTCTTTTCAGCTCTGGTTTCCTTGCAGCTGGCTAGCAGAAAGGCAGACATTGTGTAACTAAAGTGAAGCAAACAGGAAAAAGTCAAACTGTCCTCAGATCCTTTTGTGGATGGAACTTCTGAATGTTCAGTCACTCAGTTTAAACAAACAGGAGGTGGAGGAGTGGATGAGAAGTCAGGGTGGATGTAAACAGGTGAATAGACGCAGACAGAGCCATTTCAGTTAAGTTTAACTGATTCTAATATTACATATTTTATTAAATGTTTTTTTATTTAATCATGGTTAATTTAACATTACGCATAATGGGTGTTTAAAAGCTACTTTTTCAATAAATTGTAAAATAAACTTTCAGTGGGGGGATACAAATTCTACAAAGTATTTCCCAAAGTACACAAATGAAAAGAATGAACAGTCTATGTACGTTTTTACCTGAGAAAATGGTTACCCATACTGCCTGGGGAAACATAATAGTCTTCATTATTTTAATGGGAAATAAAATGTAATATCATAATACATTTTCTCTAAAGTGGATTGTTTAAATGCATAGAAATATAAATTCACAGACATCATAACTAACTGTAAAGCTATGAAATGATAAAAATGATTGTTTTGTTTTTCATGTGCAGAATCACGAACCTGCAGAGTACCGTGAAACCAGGGATTCAGGCTCCACAGCGCAGCACAGCGACACAGGGAGCCGTGCAGATGCGCATTAAAAACTCTCCGAGCTCCGGAGACCGTCTGAGTCAGTCCAAGTCGATGGTGCTGCAGGAGACCGACCTTCCTCAGAAACCTGTACGTAAATCACAAAGAAGCACCAGCCTGCAGGAGACGCTTCTGTTTTAATGAACATGTCTTTTGCAGATCTCTCGACATCGCAGGAATCAGTCTCAGCACAATGTTGTGGTAGCAGGAGCTGCTACATTTGAACCTCTGGTAATTACAACCTATATAATCATTACATTCCTCCTGTTTTCGAAAAGTTCCTTCACAGATTCGGTTTAATCTCCTCTCTCCACATCTGACTCCCCCCACATTCACTCTTCTGTAAGATGATCTTACTTTGTCATTTTGCCTTTTATTTGCGATCCACAACAACTGATCCCAGTGCAGATTGGTCATCATTTATGAAAACACAAAAAATCTACTTCCCAATTAAATGAATGAATGTTTCAACAACAGCACCGTGGCGTACGAAACAGTGATTAGCACTGTTTCCTCACAGCAAGAAGGTCCACCACCAGTCTCTTTGCGTTAGCCCTGTGACAGACTGGTGACGTGTCCAGAGTGTAAGTATTTACAATACTTACAGTGTAATTTGTGCATCCTTTCTTCTTTATCATCATCTTTATTTAGAAAGCAAGTGCTGCACATTGGAACTAAATAATAAAAATTCATAATATATAAATAAGATCCAAATAAAAGAAAGTGAAATAGTTAATTAATTAATAATTAATTTAATTTTAAGAAAAACTAAGTCTCATTGAGGCCAAAAGCCAAAGAATAAAAATGGGTTTTAAGACATTGTGGTGGGGCGTGGTTCGTGTGGGGGAAGCTGACACACCTGAGCTCGATCTCAGGCATATTAAACGTGCCAGCCCAAATGGAAAAGATACAAACTTTATAAGATTAATATATATCTGTCTTGTGTGAAACTTGTATGAAAAAGCATACAAGAGTGAAAACAGATAAGATCCCTTGAAAAATTATATAAATGAAACTTATATGTTTTGAATACTTACTAAAACATTATATGAAAGTAATGAGAAAGTGGCCAATTTCATGAGTAAATCATGTAAGCCTTATATGATTCACTATATGGAGTAGGCCACATCTGATGCAAGTCTTTTGTAAGTTTTTACTATTTCTTTTCCATATGGGAGGACCTGAGGAAGTGTTTGTTTGTTTGGTTGGGTGGGTGTTATGTGTGGGATGCAGCTGAAAAGCTGTGGCCGGGAGTTGTAGATGCAGCAACCAGGAATAAAAAGTGTGTAAAGAGTGAAAGTATGTGGTCGGGGCCGTCATTGCTGTCACAGACGTGTTTTAAAAGTGGACAGTGAAGGGCCCTGGCTGTATCCCAATTCAGGGTCTGCAGCCTTAAAGGCTGCATTTTAAGGCCGATTACGTCACAGCGACGCGACAAAGGCTGTCCCAATTTGAAGGCTGCTCGAAATGCAGCCTCAAATGCGTCCTTCATTTCCCTGAATTTTAAGGACATGGCGGTGTAGACTTCATGGCCCAATATATCCCAGAATGCATAGCGCGGCGGTGGGTGTGGATAATTTTGCCGAAAAAAATGGCGGATGAGGGGCGCCCGAAGAGTAAACTTTAAGTAAGTACTGAATATTATGTCACTTATTTATGTGCAAATGTTTAATAATGAAGAACATTAAAACATTACTGTTGGCCACATGTCGGCAAAGTCATGTGACATTAGTGACGTTTGTACTAACTTGGTTTTAAAGCCTTTACTTTAAAATATACGCCGTTCAATAGCTGACCTTAATCTTACAGAGAATGACCAAAGCTCATGTAGAAACAAACAAACAAATGAACAAATGATTTTCTTCATTTCATTTCTGTCAAACAAAGCTGTATGAAACGTTTCCAGCTGTTAGTATCATGGTTGCTAGGCAACCTGGGCAGCGCAACGGAGGCTAGACCATCCCATTTCACAAGCCTCGCACTTCCGGCCTTAGCGGTCTTTAAGTACGCGGCCCTTGAGGATCGTTGAGACTGCGTACTTTAAGGCTGCAGACCCTGAATTGGGATACAGCCCCTCTCTAACATGGAAGGGCAAGTTATTCCATTATTTAGGAGCCATGATAGAAAAGGCCCCGCCCCCTGTGAGCTTCCTCCTGGATCTCAATACTTCCAGGAGCAGCTGGTCAGCTGACCTGAGAGACTGACAAGGTGTGCGTGGATGAAAAAGCTCAGAGAGGTAGTGAAAGAATTTAAAAACCAAACATGAGAATCTTAAAATGAACTCTGAAAGACACAGGCAGCCAATGCAGTGAGGCCAGGACAGGGGTTATATGCTCTCTTTTACGAGTTCCTGTTATGCAGTCATGCAGCAGCATGCAGACGTGAGAGCAACGACTGACTGACCTCCACATAAAGTGAGTTACAGTAGTTCAGACGGGATGAAATAAAAGCATGGATCACTGTTTTAAGGTGCTGCCTCGAAAGAAAAGATTTCACTCTTGCCAGTCGCCTTAAGTAATAAAACTGGACTTCACCACTGCTCTGATTTGGTTGTCCAATTTAAAACCACTGTCCAACTTAAAACCAAGGTCAGTAATGACAGGTTTAAAATAAACTTCCAGGGATCCAAAATCAACAGGAGGACTAACAGGCACCACTGGGTCCACACACCAACAATTCTGTTTTCTTGTACTTGAAATTTAAGTAGTTTAAAGCCAACCAAGCTTTAATGTCATCTAGACATGTCAAAACACGTTTTATGGAGATGCTATCCTTCTGCTTTAGTGGCAAATAGATCTGGCATTCATCAGCATGTGCAATGAAAAGAGATCCCATGCCTTCTTAGGAAGATGGCGCCAGCAGTATGCATGGCGACACGTCCGTCAACTCTGCTAGCTTTGCTTTGGCTTTCGCTAGCCTTATCCTTTTCTATTTGATCCTAAAATGCCCTCGCTCTGCGTGTGTACAATCGCCAGCTACTCTTAGAAATCAAAGCATCGTATGACCTGGCTCTTAAACAAACGGACACAGGAGATGATTATGGGCCTCCTCCACCACTTTTTGAGCCCTGTATTCTGGTTTATCTGTGCCAACACTCCTACACCACTTCCTGGAAGAAGCACCCGAGGAAACGAGGAAAGCGGGCTGGTACACTCATCAAAGTCCGAGCTCTTCTCCATGCTTCTCGTGGAACTACTGGACCAGCAGAGTGCATCTTTAGATGGATCCTGCCTGTTGTCCCTGGAGCTCCCACGACACTTGATCCCCCGCTTTCAGCATTCTATTTCCCTAAGCGGCCTCGGACCCGTGGATGCGGTGTGGACCACAGAAATCTTCGTACACTTAACCAAGCTGGAACATCTGATGTTAGGATCTACACACTCCAAATGGCTTTACTAAATGTAAGATCATTAGCAAACAAGACGTTTGTATTAAACGACTTCCTAAAGTCACAACAGTTGGACTTTCTGTTTCTGACAGAAACATGGCTTCAACCCGGTGAGTCTGGAGCTTTTTCGGAACTGGTTCCTCCTAATTTCTCATTCTTCACTCTCCCTCAGCCCTCTGGTAGAAGGGGAGGCTTAGCCACCGTGTTCAACGCTCGATTTCACGACTCATTTTCTAGTTTTGAACTCCAACTGTTTGAGTTACACCTACACTCTGCTGCGCCTTTGCTGTGTGCCCTCATATACCGTCCTCCATCTTAAAAAGGATTTTATCAAAGAGTTTTCAGGTTTTATGGCTGGAATCGTTCTTAAATTCGACAGTTTTTTAATCCTTGGTGATTTTAACATCCATGTCTGCTGTGACTCTAAACTTTTGGTCAAGGACTTTTTAAATATTATTGACTCTTTTAACTTGACCCAGTGGGTTACCGGTCCCACGCATGAAAAAGGTCATACACTGGACTTGGTGCTCTCCCACGGGCTGGATGTGTGCATCACGGAAATATCCAAGTTGCGCATCTCCGATTATCTTCCTGTGTTGTTCACTGTAACGCTGCGCTGCTCTGACAGCGCCCGCTTTTTCTGCTGCCTTTATGGATTCTGGAATAATGAACTCCAACTGTAAGAGTGTTGAGGACCTTTCGGACATTCTTCATTCTACCTGCACTGATATTTTGGACTCGATTGCTCCATTGACAAGATTCTATCGATTAGGGCTCTTGTCTCGTCGTCTGCTGCTTGAGATCATTGTCTTTCTCCTATGTGCTCAGCTGTCTTAGAGCAGTTCGATTCCGTCTCCCTTAATGACTTGACCGCGGTAGTTAGTAACTAGGGCTGGGTATCGTCACTGATTTCTAGAATCGATTCGATTCCAATTCACAAGGTCCCGAATTGATTCGATCTACGATTCGATTCAATTCGATTCGATTAAAATCTGGGAAATTTTGCTTTTCCTGGCCTGGATTTTATTAAAATATTCCACAGTACATCAAAAACGAAAGAAAACCATTAATCAACATATGAACATTACCTCTGAAGTTACAGCAGTTTTATTACAGACACAGCTGAGCGTTTTGCATTTTGCATAATTTTAAAAAGTTTATATTTGTTCAGAAGCCTGTTGAACAGCAGAAATTAGGTTTTCTTTTCAGAAGTAAGTAAAAGGGGAAAAAAAACAGCGGCCGACAGCCTGTAAACAACGGTAGACTTGTTCGTAACAAGCAAGCAAATAATGCAGAAAACAGATTTTTAGATGGAAAACTGTTCTTGAAGTACAGACAGACAGACAGACAGACAGACAGACAGACAGACAGACAGACAGACAGAGAGAGAGAGACAGACAGACAGAGAGAGAACAGCAAAAGTCAGAGTGAATTCATGAAAATGTTTATGTGAAGCTAGTTTGGATCTTCTTTTGCTGCTGGTTTGGTCAATAATGTTTGAAGAGAGATAAAACCAACAGCTTTAGAATCACCGCAAAAAGGGCGTGAACACAAAGCGCGGACATCAGAATCAGCGAGCTGTCGGCTTTCAGCCCCAACCCTGTCCGTGCCGTTGGGTGAGAAAGTCACATCTCACTGATTCTGATCCGTCGGCGGGTCCGAGCTTTGTGTTTACATCTTTGTGCAGAATCCGTGTTCCTGCTCTCATTTACTGTTTTAGCTGTTTGGTGGTTCTTGAAATTTTGTGAGATTTCACCAGAGATTCTGGCGTTTCGGGAAAAATAAATTAATATAAAAAAATAGATTCAGGATTTTAATGAATCGATATCACGTTATCCAAGCCTGAATTGATTTTAATCGATAAATCAATTATCAAAACCCACCCCTATTAGTAACCTAAGATCATCACACTGCCCCTCCGTCTCCCTCCAAGCTTGCTTAAAAGCACTTTTAATACACTTTTAATGTTGGGCCTTTTATCCTGAGATTAATTAATACGTCCCTTGCTACAGGCTGCGTCCCATCATGCTTTAAACAAGCTGTAGTTCAGCCTCTTCTTAAAAAAAACAAAACCTGGACCCAACTGTTCTGTCCAATTACAGGCCTATCTCAAAGCTTCCTTTTCTATCTAAAGTCTTGGAGAAAGTGGTCTACCTACAGTTGCAGGCCCACCTTGATTTTAATATGATCTCTGAAAAATTTCAATCTGGTTTTAAATCACTACATAGCACTGAGATGGCACTTTTAAGGTTTTAAACGAGTTTTTACCTGTTGTTCTGGCCCCTGCGATCTTTTATTGTTTGGACTTGTCAGGTTTTGACGACGCGTCGAATGACATCTGTTATCACGGCTAAATTTCTGTGGCTAAAGGATCTGTCCCTAGTGGTTTCTGGTTCGTATTTGGTCAGAGGTCTTTAATGTCAATATGGGCCACCACAACTCAAAAATGGCCCTCTTAATTGTATCTCAAGCTCTTATTTTGGGTCCTGCCTGTTCGATCTTATTTGTTGATTGGGTATTTGCACGTGTCGATATTGCGTTTATTATGACTGATTTTGCTGATGATAGTTGGCGATTTATTTACTTTAAGAGGATCAGACATGGCGCAGCTTTGCTGAGATTGTAAAGTGGTTGGTTTATTAATTTTTGTAAAAGCTACATGAGTAAAATTGAGGTTGTCATTTTTGGCCAACTTTAATCATATCGACAGCACTCTGGGCACCCTTTCCTCGTATTGTAAAACACATGTAAAAAACCTCGGTGTCTACATTGATGGTTCTTTTAAATTCAATAAGCAGGTGAGTGCAGTAGTTCAGTCCTGCTTTTTTCAGTTAAGACAGCTGGCCAAGGTAAAGCCATACCTCCCGGCTAACGTCTTTGAGCGTGTTATTCACCTTTTCCTTACTTGCAGATGAGACTACTGCAATTCATTGTGTTATGGTCTAGATCAGGCCTCCATCCACCATCTTCAGATGGTCCAAAATGCAGCTGCTCGCCTGCTAACTGGTACCAAACGGAGAGAGCATATAACCCCAGTTTTAGCTTCTTTACACTGGCTTCCTGTCTCGTACAGGATCCAATTTAAACTTTTACTTTTTGTTTTTAAGACACTTAATGCCCGAGCCCCTCCTTACCTCCTTATGCTCCAGGAAAAACCATGAGGTCTAGCTCAAAATTAATGCTGTCCATCCCACAGACTTATCTCAAAGCTCATGGTGATAGATCCTTCTCTGTGGCAGGTCCCAGACTTTGGAATAGTCTCCCCTTAAATATTAGATCTGCACAAACACTTGAGCAATTTAAAGCATTACTAAAGACACATTTCTATGCCCTGGCTTTTAACACACTATGACCCAAGCATTTTGCTGTTATTTGAATTAGTCTTAGTTATTGTTTTAATTCTTTTGTTTTTTTTATTGTTATTATTGTACTACATTGTTGCTTTTTAATACCATTTTTATATTGTTAAGCACTTTGTGCAGCATCGGCTGTTTGAAATGTGCTATATAAATAAATTTGACCTTGACCTTCTAAGGATGGAGCCCTGTGGGACGCTGCATGACAGAGGAGCAGAAGATGATTCAGAACTGAGAAGGCTGGTGGAGACAATTGGTTTAGGTCTTATTTGGCCAAGAGAACTAAGTGCAGAGCCACCAAAACCCACTACATCATTTAATCAAGAATTAGACTATTGTGGTCTACGGTGTCAAAAACAGCAGCTAGGTCAAGCAAGACCAGAATGAATCACATACCAGAAGGATGTCATTAAAAAACCCTTAATGCAGATTCTGTGCTATGAAGGGTTTTAAAACCTGATTGAAAAAACCTCAAGGATGCCATTATCATCTAGAAAATATTGAAGTTGACTAAAAACAGTTTTCTCTAAAACCTTGGAAAGTAAAGGCAGCTTGGAAATAGGCCTATAATTGGCCACGACTGTGTGATCAAGGCCAGGTTTCTTAAGCAGTGGCTGCACTACTGCATGTTTGAAATTTGCAGGAACCATACCAGAAGACAGACTGCTGGTAATAATGTCAAGGACATACTGTCCTATACTAGGAGAAATGTCTTTAAAAATAAAAAAAAATTGTGGAGGAAAAGGATCCCGTGGGGAACCTGTGAGCTTAATATGGCGCACCACATCCTCTAAAGTGGAGAGTGTCACAAGCTCAAACTGAGTAAAAACAGCAGTGCAAGGGACAGAGAAAGAGGGGTCAGAGTCAGGAGCTGTGATCAGAGCCCTGATGGTGACAAAAAAAACAAAAAAAAACAAAACAAAAAACAACAACCCCTCAGAAAATTATTGCAAATATCAGGAGAAATTTCCAAACAGACATTCAGTGGAGTATTAGGAACAGAGTCAGTGGTGTTAAATAACACACATGGGTTAGGACTGTTGGAAGAAATGATATTTTCAAAATATGCCCTTTTTGTCTCTTTGACAGTGTTCTGGTAGCGATGTCAGCAGTCTTTGAAAATTTGAAATGATACATGCAGTTTTTCCTTTCTCCATCTGGGTTCTGCTGGGTGACGTTCCCTCTTGACAGCGTGAGCGCTGTCATTAAACCAAGGCGCAGGTTTAGCCCGAGGCTGTCTGGGTTTTAATGGAGCCATGGAGTCCCACAGAGTCAGAGAAATTCCTCTTGCATCCAGATGGCTATCCAAATCTGCATGTCAGATTTGGATAGCCATCTGGATGGAACTACTGGTGAGGCCAGGAACGTTCAAAGCTTTGAAGTGGCTTGTTCTGATCCCCACAAGTGAGTCTGATTATCGGTGTCTACAGAGAGTTCACTGACATCTTGGTTTGGTTGACATATGGATTAAATATGCATGTCAGTTCATTCAGATTAGTTTTTCACAAGTAAACATGGCTAACCTTTAGAGTTACTGTTTATTTTAAAATAGATTTGATGTAAAGTCCCATGTTCAGTTTGTCTTTCTGGGTTTCTGATGATTCCCCCCCGCTCTCGACAGCATATGTATAAAACGTCTGAACACTTCCTTAATTTCCCTTTTGTGTGCTTCCAGGTGGATTTGAAAGGCGAAATCATGAATATGGCTAAAATTTCAGACAGTGGTAAGAAGCAGAGGAAGAACTGGTCTTCAGTGTGGACTGTGCTCACCTCAGACCAGTTAATGTTTTATAAAGACAAACAGGAAACTGGACTGGTATAAAAATCTTTCATCACTACTGTCAGTGTATCTCTACTTATATTTATCATGTCTAACTTGTGTGACCCATCACATTACTGTCTTTGCGCTTAGAAACCAGGAGGTAAGGCAGATGTGCTTCAGCTGTGTGGAGCATTCATTGAGTGGAATACTGAGAAATCAAGCAGGAAAAATGTCTTCCAGGTGAACACTTAATTGCTGCTGATGGCTTATTCTCTCTGGTTATTTAAAATAGATGGTACAGAAATGAACTGGTTTTTTTGGTTGTTTTTACCTGTTCTAGATTAAAACAAGCACAGGAAGTGAGTACCTTGTCCAGACTGACAGTTACTCCACTGCCAGCAAATGGTACGACGCCATCAAAAAGACCGTCGACTCTTCAGTAAGAAGTCACCACCCTTTAAAATCATCATCACTATATTCCTTGTTCATTAATTATAAATTATTTCTGTGCATTTTGTGAATTTCTTTTCAAAAAGACAAATTGATCACTTATCAAACTAATCTTCCTGAGATTGCTTGTACCTCTTTTCTGCTCAGACTAAAGAAGGTTTTCCTCTGCGGAGATCAAACAGTACAGACTACCTGCCCAGACACAGCTCCCTACCTGGATATGGATCTGCTTCTCCTGGTGTCAAACAACGTAACCCAATACACCGACGATCTATCAGTGAGTCTGAGGAATAATGATTTGTATTTATACAAAGCAGCAGTGAGCAGCTAAAGCCACAGAAACCATTAGTGTGTAAAACATGATTCACATCTAAATTATCATGACTGCTCCATAACTGCTGGAGGTGGAAAGCAGCTGTGCAACTCCTAAAAAAAGTTAAGGTAATAATGTCACGCGGGCGGAAACTGACTCAGGCGCAGACCAGCTGAACTAGAATTACAGTCACAAGTGTATTTACAAACACACTATGTGAAATTATAAACAGTATATGGGGGCAGGGACTTTCATTGGTCCAAGGGAAAAAGCGAAGCACACTCTGCTCGTTCGCTCCTCTCGCATTCGTCTTTAGCACTCTCACCTACTCCACGCCACGCTGCCAGGGAAACAGATCTAGGGATAAGGACAAGTCCAGGAGTCTATGCACAGGAGAACCGTGGTTAGAATAAACTGAGAAATCACACAAGAAACAGATTATCAGAGCTGTACTGACGAGAATAACTCAACAATCCAGCAAAGACGCCTTCTTTGCTGGATGACAAATACATTCCTTGGACCAGTCAATATGGGGTTTATGTGTATTTAGCCATGGATAACCAAGAACGAAGGATACAAGCATCATCAAACAGAAAGGAACTAATCTTTTCAACATGGTTGCAAGAAGAGGAGATCTGAATGGCCTGCAAGTGATGATACCCATCGTCACTTGCAGGCCAATATAAACCTGACACTAACACTGGAGTCTAGGTAGGGAGACATCCTCAATCGTGCCCACCAGCATTCCTACTGCTACTGACAGACAAGATCTTTCGGCCACGTGGGACAGGTGTCTGCATAGTGTCCTTATCTGCCACAATAAAAACACTGACCAGCCAGATGTCATTTCCTGCAGTCTGAGAGCAAAAGTCGGGCCTGGCCAAGCTGCGTGGTCTGCTCTTCCTCCTCTGCTGGCTCGTCTCTTCCTGGCCTTCGTTCCCAGGGGTCAGCCCCTCATGGATCTATCAGGACTGGAGACCTGTTTACCATATACCTGCATGTTGTCATCAATCCTAACAGTCATGGAAATCACAGCATCCTACTCACTGGAGTTGAATGCTACCGTGCAGTGACTTCTCTTCATAGTGAAAATACAACTTACAGCTCTATCTCTGTACAATGGTGCTCAGCTATCTCCACATGTTCCCGTAAATCTCCTGGGAGACTTTCACCTTGACGAGCTGGATTACTGACTGTGTTCCTCAACGATACAGTGTCAGCTACTGTGTTAAGTAGAGAGCCACTGACAAGGCTGATCAGCATCAGGATAGCATGATTAGTCAGGAGGGGTGGCCAACTCCAAGGCGGGAAACTCTTCAGGCCTGGTGTTGCACCAAAACACAAACACCACCATATGCACACAAACATGCACAGACCAGGAGTAGAAAACACAAATCCAAATACAACACAGACATGGCAGGTCGACCGGCGAGGAATGGCAGACCATGACAGAAAAAGACTCTAAATGAATATCAATGGTACTAAAAGTAGCTGTAGATAATGTTACATCTGTGTGATGATTATGGGTCATTTTGTCTCTAATGGTTAAAATGTTATTTGTGAAGAAGTGGCTACAGTGCTGAAGAGAAACCTTCAGTTCTTATTTCTTATTTCTCCAGGCTAACTGATGATCCTCTAAATTTGAAACACACCATTTTCTCTCCAGCTTACGAGTCATCTGCTTTAGGCTACGTGTTTGAGAATTATACCACGGAGTCAGGTACTTCTGATTTGAGGCCTTAGTTTTCACAGGAGCCACAGTATCCAGAGTTGTATGTGGTGAGGAGGTAAAATTATTAACAAGATAATCGACCTCTGTTGGGGTAGCGTTCAGATAGCTGCTCTGCTCTGTGTTGGTACAGGGCATTGAAGATGATAACAGTGGGTGGATTATATTCTTAAACTTAGTTACAGCGCTTTCAGAAAGACATCTACTGGATAAAGTCTACTCTCCACCGCTGTGTAATCAATTATTGTAAATGTAAATGTTATCAGGAAATGATCAGACAGGAGAGGGTTTTCAGGAAACACTGTTAAATGTTCAGTTTCTCTGCCATATGTTAAAACAAGATCTAGAGTGTGATTAAAGTGGTGGGTGGGTTCTTTTACAGTTTGAGAGAAGCCAATTGAGTCTAATAACAGATTAAATGCCATGTTGAGGCTGTCATTTTTAGCATCTACATGGATGTTAAAATCACCCACAATAATTATTTTATCTGAGCTGAGCACTAAATCAGATAAAAAGTCTGAGAAATCAGACAGAAACTCTGTGTAAGGCCCAGGTGGACAATAGATGATAACAAGTAAGACAGGTTTCTGAGTTTTACAGCTGGGGTGGACGAGGCGAAGCATCAGGCTTTCAAATGAATTAAAAGTCTGTCTGGGTCTTTGGTTGATTAATAACCATATCATCAGAATATGGGTGATGAGAGACATCATTTAAAGCTAATATTGAGAAACATTATTCTGAACATTATTCCACCATAGTTTTTTGCAGATTGGTGAACCTCTGCCTTTTTTCACTTCTGAGAGCTCCTGTTGTGCCTAAACTGTACAAAGATTGGCTACAATTGTTTGGCATCCATTAAAACACTGTTGTGAATGGATACAATTACCCTGATTAGCTGCAAATTGTTCCTGCAGCTGTTTCTTTTTAGTACCACTTACTTATCAAGCTTTTGTTGCTCTGTCCCAACCCATATGGAAAAGATATATATAAATCTTATCAAGTTTTTATCTGTCTTGTATGAAACTTGTATGAAAAGTATACAAGAGTGAAAACACATATAAGATTCCTTGAAAAATTATATAATGAAACTTGTATGTTTTGTATACTTACTAAAAAATTATATGAAAGAATAAAAAAAGTAGCCACTTTCATGAGTAAATCATATATGTTTTTACTATTTCTTTTCCATATGGGAAGAGCTGATGTTTTGCTGCCATCTAATTCAAAATGAGCGCATGTGTGTGTTTTCTGTTCTATTGTGAATAAAATATGGGTTGATAAGATTTGAAAATAATTAATTTCTGTTTTTTTAATCCCTAACCCTTTTACATTCAATTCAACTTAATTGAATCCTGTTTTATTTACACAGCACCAAATCACAACAACACTTGTTTTACATAGTATCTCAAAGCTGTACCTCAACCTGTTTCTTCTGTAGACATGTTTGGCAGCTCAAAGCTGAAGCACAGCGCCTCAGATAGCGCAGACAAGAATGGAGTGAAAAACCGGCTGAAGAAATTCATCATCAGACGTCCATCCATGAAGACTCTACAGGAGAAAGGCCTGATAAAAGGTTTCTGCTTGTTTTGCTTCAGCCTTTTTTCTGAAGCCTTGTTTTCCAGTTGTGTTTTTATGCTTGCTTCCTTTCCTTTAGAAATGTCTTTTTTAAAAATTAAAACTTAACTAACAGTTTGGATAAATTCTGTTTCAACAGCATTGCTGGCAGACTAGAGAGGTTTAAGAAATAAAATAACATCATGTTTTTATATACAGTGTTACCTTTGCAGAAGCTTTACAGGTTCGGTTTTACAACCTAACCTGGCCCTAACACAAGCTTAAAATGATTTTTGTGAGTGAACTGGCTTTCAAAATGTGCTTAATCTAATAATTAAGTTAACAAAAATTCTAATTGATCAAATTGTTATAACATCTGTCTCAGATCGAGTGTTTGGCTGCCATCTGTCGAGTCTCTGTGAGCGTGAAGGGACCACGGTACCAAAGTTTGTTCGGATCTGTGTGGACGCTGTTGAGAAACGAGGTACGTTTACTGATACTGAAACTCAGACATGACTGTGCAAGATATGGACACCCACTCTCCCACCCATTCCTTGACATCCTTGCCAGTCACAGGAGCACGTTCAGTGAGAGACTGAGATTATCCATAATGCACCAATGAACGACACAGGAAATCATTGCTGCCCGTGGCCATCTACAGTACACAGTACAATAGTTACACCCCTTTGCACATGCTTTACAGTAAAATAATAACTAACAAAGTTTTACAGGTCAGAGTAAAACGTCAATCATATATATTTCACCTCTGCAATATTCTGGATATTTACAACTGAGCTACTTATATATTAGAGTTATTTCTTGTATTTTGTAAACTTTGTAATATATTGTATTATTTAGTTCAGTCTGTTACCGTTATTGTGTGTGTGTAACTGTGACCACATGATTTCTTTTGGCATAATTCTGATTATAAACACAGGTACAGTGGTATGAAAAAGTGTTTGCCCTCTTCTTGAGTTCCATCTGGAAATTAAGAAGACTCAGATTCATGCTGACCAATGCATGAGCCAGAGTCAAGTTTCTGCATCACTATGAAAGTTAAAAAGTACTTCTGCATGGAATTGTTGTATAAAGAATGTGCTGCCATCTGTTTGTGACCTCAAACTGAAGTGCACCTGGGTTCTGCAGCAGAACACAGCAGCAAGTCCTCCTCCGAGTGGCTTAAGAAAAACAAAATGAAGAATTTGGAGTGGCCCAGTCAAAGTCCTGACCTGAACCCAGAGTTTATAAAGCCAGTTCATGCTCAAATAACCTCGGATGTGCTAAAATTCCTCCACAGAGCTGTAGAAGATTCATTGCTAGTTATCACAATTGCAATTAGGCTGCTAACGATGGACCAACCAGTTATTAGGTTTAGGGCACTGTGGTGGGGTGTGGTCTGTGGTGCTGCTGCAGGAGATCACGCCTTGCTGGTTATGCGGACTGCTGTAATGCTGTTGTTGTTGGTGATGTGTGTGGCTGGCAGCTTTAGAGCTGCAGTCGTGTGTTTGTGACAACAACCGTGAGAATGCGAAATAAAGAGATGCTTATAAGCATAAAAATGTCGTCAGGTCTGCCATGGATCATTTACAGGGGCAATCAGTTTTCGTAGGTTTGGACTTTTCCCCTTGATAATAAACACCTTCATTGAGAAACTGCATTTTGTGTTTACTTGTGTTATCTTTGTCTATTTTGATAATCCGAACCATTTAAGTGTGACAAACATATGAAAAATTCAGGAAGGGGGAAAACACTGTATGTTTAGTTTCTGTTTCCTGAAAGCTAAAGCTGTTTGAGTACAATTAACTAGCAACGAGTAGTACATATGGATCTATTGAATGAGCTCAGACTTAAATTAAGGTTTTTAATAAAGTGTATCTCTTTGCAGGTCTGGAAGCTGACGGGATCTACAGAGTCAGTGGAAACCTGGCCACAATCCAGAAACTTCGCTTCCTCGTCGATGAAGGTCAACTAAACAGTAGCTTTTACAGTAGCTGTAAAGTAGTTAATTTCCCTTTCATTCATGAAAATGGGTTATAATTAATCAGCGTAAGTCTTACATTGCCCTGACAAAGCTAGGGGATTAAAACAAAGAGTCAAACAATGCAGGTTACAAAATGAAACAGAATTTTATTAAGAAATTAAACCTCGATACACAGCTAAGCAACTAAGTCAGTCAACCAAACCCATCAAAATAGTGCTTGTGGCATGGCCTTACACCAATAATTTATATCAAAATGTATTAAATCCTCCTAAGTAGACTCTGAAGTTAAAAACCAATACATATAAAATGGTAAAACAATGTGCTCTGACCTCTTCTCATAAAATCCTGCTCAGTAATATTTCCATGGTTGTCCCACAGAGGAGGACCTGGACCTGGAACACAGTCAGTGGGAGGATGTCCACGTCGTCACCGGAGCCCTCAAAATGTTTTTCCGTGAACTGCCGGAGCCACTGTTTCCATTTAGGTTTTTCCAGCCTTTTGTGGAGGCCATCAGTGAGTAAAACCTGCCTTTGTTATAAATCTTCAGTTTGTGATGACTTTATAAAATGGTTCTTTTATTTGTGTAATCTCTGCTGCTCTTGGTCAAGTCACTTTAAGAATGAGACTTGTATTTAGACAGAATCTCCAGACTGCTTGAACAAGACTCCCCCCAGTTTAAAAACGTTTAAACTTCAATTAGAAATCTAAAGGTTAAACTAATGCTGCTGTCATTTGTTTTAACAGAGATCAAAGAACCCAAACAAAAAGTTCAGGCTGTGGAGAAACTGATACAGCAGCTGCCCAAACCCAACCATGACACCATGAAGCTTCTCTTCAGCCACCTGCACAAGTAATCCAACACACACCTGAACCTCACCTGTTAGGAGCATTTACAGTGTTCAGGTGGAATACTGTGGAATAAACCACTGCACATATTACTTTACAAACAAGTGATAATTCTTACATTCCTGTCCATATATTTGGCTTGTATCTTATGTTTCTTGTATTTTGCACACCGCTGTTGCTTGTGAAGCTTGCACACAAGAATTTCACTCACATGTGCTGTGTCAATAAAAGTGATTTGATTTGATGTTCACACAATCAGAAAGGCACCATCAGAAAGGGTCGTATTTATAAACTCAGGATGGGTAGCACATAGTATACTGTTTGATGCTTTGTTAGCTAATTTAAAGGACATGTTAACGTTTGCATTTTCCTTTTGCAGAGTTCTGGCCTTTTCCAGGAAGAACCTGATGTCCACTCAGGGCATCGGAATCGTGTTCGGTCCAACGCTGATGTGGCCTGAACTGGACGCCGGAAACATGGCGGTCAACATGGTGTATCAGAATCAGATTGTGGAGTTCATTCTCACTGAAAGCCAAGAAATCTTCAACTTGGACGGGAAGTAAAAGGTGCTGAGCGGGACCAAATCAGCTGATGGACTCACGTTTACAGATATTAGAAGCCATGTCTGGTTTGGGCCGGGATGTAAAAACTGGAATTTTCAGAAGATATTTTGTCAGAGTTTATATTGCATTAGCACAAATCTATAATTAAATGTTTTGACCCTTTTACCTCTGCCACAATCGGTGTTGTTTTCAAATACAAAAATATACAGTACTCCAATAAATAATTCTAATGATTTTCTGTATATAACCTACCACTGAATATTTAAAACATATCCTAGTGTCATTATAAAATTCAGCTGCATTATCACAAAATTAGCCTGCAGAGCAAACATGTTTTTATTTATAAAACAGAATCTTAGTAATGTTTTTTTTTTCAAATATAGCATTCACACTACTCAAGGCTTCACATGAACATCTCAAACAAACCCTGTCATATTATTGGTAAAATATTGCTGAAGATTATTTTAAAGTTATTGAATGATGGTGAGTAAATAAGATGATTTGTATGATTAGTGTGTTTGTTTCTAGACAGTCTTGCAGTATAAATATTGACTAAAAAGAAACAATAGAGCCTGAAGTCAACATAAACATCCAACTTTAGTGAGAACTGACGCATTTAAAAAATCTACAGCAGAAAACAGAAAACAAACTGGATTCAGACAATAATTTGTGTGTCAAAAGTTAAAATGAGTGGATATAACGGAAAATATGTTCATGTGTGAATAATTCAGCCCAGAAAGGGTAAATCTGTCAGCACAAAGAGTTTGATGTGTGTTTGTGAGTTTGACAATTAATCAATGAATTCTGCCAGGAGGTACTGAACCGATTAAAGTTTTTAAAGGTTCTCTCTTGTGGTCTGAACACATCAGACTACAGCGACAAAAATTTATTTAATAAGAATAGAAAAAGAGGTGATTTTAAATTCCTGTAAACAGCATAAGTTTCCACTAGTTCGTGTTTGTATGTTAAGATATTTTAACTGAACAGAAATGAAACGTTCTAAAAATTATTTGAGATTTTAAAGGTTGCACGTCTTGTGAGAGACGAAGATACTGAAGGTACATCTCAAGTTTACTTGACTAGTTCCTATTGATAAATATATTTTAGAGATTTCGCTGATTAAAATTTACTAAGCTCAGCCGTCTGTTCCTTGCTATCTAAAATATATTAGGACACTGGAGTAAACTTTCGACCAGCTCACACTTCTGTTTAATCAGTTTTCTGTTTGACGTTTATTCAGCTGTGTGAAAACGATAACTTTAATCTCAGCCAAACCGATTTACTCAGGGACAAATAAAATACTGAAAAAGCCAAACAATAACATTTTTAAGTTATCTGAGTGACTTCTATATCATTTTAAACCTGAGTAGCCAAAGACCGCGGGGATGTGGAAACGATGTGCAGGTAGTTTGCTGTTGTCGCCCCGGTCAGCTATCGAGCTAGTGGGTCTCTGAAAACGTCGGAGCACTTTTGCAAATATGCGATGTCTTGATAAACTGAGCAGATATTTGAAGTTTACACAGCTACTTTCTCACCTTATAACATGTTAAAAGTTTATTTTGTGACCCAGAAAGATTAATAAGAGTAATATTAAAAACTTTTTTCTTTTTTTTTTGCCCATTTGGTTCTTTAGCTATCAGAATTGTTGTCTGAAGACCAACAAGGATACCCAATGGATTTATTTTGCCAAATGGATCATCGTGGCATTGCCGTATTGGTCCATTTGATCGACCTTTGTTTTTATTATTTATTTTATTTTATTTTCAGTTGTTACAGACGGAACAGAC